TCAGGGAAGATTCATTAAAATCATTTTGTGGAGTTTTATGTTACTTATCTCCGAAGAACAAATACTCTAAGGAGAAGTTCCAATGCTCAAATATGTATCTGAAAAGCCAATAATTAAATAAATCTGATTCTGGTATTAGTTCCAAGGTTAAAGGCTTTGCATCTCTGAGTTTTTGTATTAGGGACATATCCAGTGTACGTTGTGTGATCTCTGACTGGGCGGCAGTCACTGCACTCCAGTCTGGGTGACAGAGTGAGACGCCAACTAAAAAAAAAAAAAAAAAAAAAAAGACACAGTGGAAATGTTTTGGAAAGAGGAGAGCTCAGAAGGATGAGCCCAAAGGGATAGAACAAAATAAGAATGTATGTAGCGGAAAGAAGAGGTGACTAGAAGGGTGGTTACAGGGTAAATTAGTGGCTGTCACTTTTGCCATCATTCCAATAGACCTAACCTTATGGTATCTTGGCTTTGATGCCTGAGATGGTTGTGTTCAAGTACAGTATCTGTGATTAGGCTCTGTGGGTTTCAAGCAGGGGATGGCTGTGTTTGCACAGAGAACTGGCACAAGGGAGAGGAAGGAGACTAGAATGGCTTTCAGGTGTCTAGGAAGTATGATAGGAAGATGGTGACAACTGAGGCCGATGGAGTGAGAGCACTCAGGGACATGGTGCATGCAATGTGTAGAGTGTCAACGGAAGATGGTCCAGGATGGAACCACAAAGACAGGCCAGGAATTGAGCTGAGGCAAGTGAGATAGAAGAGTTCTGGGAGTAGAAGATAACTGTGTCAGTGAAGCCAGGGGACAGTGTTTCAAGAAGGGCCTGGGAAACATTATCAAGAAAGATGCCGATTGAAAAGTGTTCATTGAAAGGTAAAAATATTACTTTTCTATAGTATGACTATTTAGGAAACCCAAGGTAATCAACTGAAAAGCAAGTCTAACAAATAATACTTCAATAAGGTAGCAGTTTCAAAATAAACACGCAGAAAGCTATAGACTGCTTATAAAGCAATAATAATCAATCAGAAAGCATCATGGAACAGAAGATCCCCCCCATTCACAGTAATGAAAACTCCTTACTAGATCCTACCCACAAGACCCTGCATAATCAGGCCCCTGTTACTTTGCTTGCTTTATCTCTTATTATTCCTTTTCTTGTTGAGGTGAAATTCACATAATATAAAATTAACTATTTTGAAATGAACATTTCAATGGTATTTAATACATTGACAACCACTGCCGCTAACTATTGTGCAACCACCACCTCTATCTAGTTCCAGAACATTTTCACCACCCCGGAAGGAAACCCATGAAATAATAACTCCTCATTTCCCCCTTCCCTCAGCCTCAGTAACCACTATTCTATTTTCTGTCTATATGAATTTTACTTTTCTTTTTTTTGAGTTGGAGTCTCACTCTGTCGCCCAGACTGGAGTGCAGTGGCCGCTCCCGGCCACCGCAGCCTCGACCTGCTGGGCTCCGGCGATCCTTCCGCCTCAGCCTTCCGAGTAGCTGGAAATACAGGCGCACGCTGCCACGCCCGGCTCATTTTGATTTATTGTAGAGATGAGGTCTCACCAAGTTGCCCAGGCGGGTCTTGAACCCGCGGACTCAGGCAATCCACTCACCTCAGCCTCCCAGGGCGCGAGATTACAGGCTGAGCCACCGAGCCCGGCTTTAATTTTACTTTTCTAGGTGCCTCATATAAATGGAATCATATATGTCCTTTAGTGCCTGGTTTCTTTCACCCTTGATGTCTTCAAGGCTCATCCATGTGGCAGCATATAGAAGTCCCTTCCTTTTTTGCCTGAGTAATCTTCCATTGTATGGATATTCCACATTTTCTTTATCCAGTCATCAGTCGATGGACATTTGGGTTGTTTCTACCTTGTGGCTATTGTGAATAGTTTATTCACACTTCTTTCACTAAATCCCACCTCCTTGGCCTTCTTCCTATTGCTCAAACTTGTCAGTCTGGTTTCTGTCTCAGGACCGTCATTACATTTGTTGTTCTCTCTACCTGGATGCTCTTCTTCTAGATCTCTCCATGGCTCTCTCATTCTCATCCTTGCTGCTCAAATGTCACATTCTCAGAGAAGCCCTCCCTGATTACTGTATTTAAAGTAGTTGAAACTCCTAGCCACATTTTATCCCATTATCCTATTGTAGTGTTTTCATAATACATATCATTATCTGAAATGAATGAGTAAATAGTATTGTCTAGACCAGGGGTTATTTTGTGCCACTGACCCCTTTAGCAATCTAATGAGGCCTCATGAGCTCATTATCAAAATAATGTTTTTAAATGCCTAAAATACACCAATTATACCCAATTATACTAAATAAAATTACCAAAATATTGAAAAATTGTGATTTAGTAACCCACATACTTCTCTATCAATTCCTGAAATTGTAACATCTATATGAAGGTATAATAATTATCAGAATTTAGAAGTTGTGATGAGTATAAGTGTTATTTTGAGATATTTGCAACAACTGGAATAGGAAATGAAAATATCAGTGATTTCTATTAGTTATAAAATCACAAGTACTGCTAGCATTACTATAGTTTGTTACCTGTTTGTAACTGAAGAAACTGCTTGACTCAGTTAGTGATTAGTTAAAAAAATGTATTTTTTTCCTATCTAAGATCATGGATCCTCTGAATTCTATCCACAGACCCTTTGGAGGTCTATGGACCCCAGGTTAAGAACTCTCATCTTGGTAGGTCAAAGATCATCAGTAGTACGGAGGAGGGGTGAAGTCTGCTGGAGTGGCTTTGGGTTGGAGATGGAAGAGCTCAGAATAAGCCAGAGAATACAGAGCTAGAAAAAAGCTGCCCATGAAACTCGGTGTGGGAGACGAAGAAATTTCCAGTTGAGAAGGACATGAGAAAAACAGCGTCTCTGAACGACCGTCAGGCATCACTTAGAGAGAGGAGGTAGCCTATGGGAGGGAGGGATTTTGTTTATCATCGACTGGAGTCCAGTGAGCACAACAGAGTGCGGGGGAGGTGGAGAGGCAGCCACAGCGGAAAATGAGCCACTGGGGTGGGAAGCGGGGAGGAGAGGGAGGGTGGGAGGGGTGGAAGGAGTACAGAGTGGTAGGTGGAACTTTACTATTTTCCAGACAGCAGGCTAGACATACAGCGATGAATAAGACAAAGATGAGTCACTCATTTAGGATTCAGCTAAGCCAAATCCTGGTGGCTTATTGGCTGGTTTGGCTGGTCTGATCCATGCACCTCTTTAGAGACTCAGAGCCAGAGGCAGTGGCAGTAAGATAGGCATGGGGTATCACTGAAGATTCAGAGGGAAAAAGCAAAAAAAACATACTCTTTTCTTTCTGCCTTTGTTCCCTTCTGCAAAGCAAAAACTGAAGTAAAAAGAAGTTATGTAATGGAGGGGGGATAAATGAAGCTGTGCCATGATCAAATAATTTAAATCAGCCAATCATCCAGAAATTAATTAGATAAGCCTAAGGAATACATTCCACCACCCTCACTCAAAATTCTTCAGGAACCTTTTAAGGATCTTTGCAACCAAGAGATTCTTTGATACTATTACCCTTCAGAACAATGTTGGCTCAGAGGGATCAAAGGAAGAAAGAAAGGACTATATTTTTAGATTTTTCTCTGGGGCTCCAGAGATACCCAGCACCTGGATCTCTCCTCTGTGTGCCGCTCTCAGAATCTAGGGTTCTGAGATTCTTTTTTTTTAAAGGCTATTTTCCCCTTCTCTGCTAGGGGGATCTTTTCAAAAAGGTTCAGGCTGGGAGTTGCTGTAGGTGGGAGGCATTGGCTGAGCCCAGCTTATCCTTTGATCATGTTTCCTTCTGGCAGTGCTATCTGAAAACTTGCTTCCCTGGGCCCAGATAACAAAGCTCTTCTAGCCTGAAGGGAGGCAGCCCCTCAGATGGAGAGGCAGCAGACAGAGGAGGAGATGAGAACAGAGGCAGGGCTGAAGCTAAGCTGACCTACTTAAATCAGGAGGCTGTAAGGGTGCAGGAATGGCCTGGGAGGGGATAGGAGGGGGAGACAGAGAGGGAATCTCCCCGGGGAGGCCAGGACAGAGAAGAATAATAGAGGGCTGATGATTAGTGATTAAGAAGCCCTGGCAAGACTTGGGGGCCACCTAGAGGAGCTGTGCGTGCAGACTTGGTGAACTGGGTACTTGTGTCCACGTGTGGAAGGTGTGTGTGTGTGAGGATATTTACCAGATTTTGCCTGAATACTTGAATTTTAAAGTCACACTTTGGAGGAAGTGAGAACCAGAAAAATATCTGGACCTCAGGGGAGCCGAGTGGGGAGCCCCACTAAACCAAGCAAGAATAAGCAAAAACCCCAGAGTGTTCCAACCAGATTCCCCAGCAGTGGGTCAAGAAGTCTTGAGTACAGAGCTTCCATACTACTAGGCACTGTTGGGGGAGATACAGGAAGCAAAGACATGAGCCCAGCCTGGAGGAAAATCAACCCATCCACAGATACAGCTAGTGGGCTCCACAGTGAATTGGGACCACATGGGGAACAGACAAGTGTCCTTCATTGGCCGCACCCTTCAGGAGGACACAACCTAATTGAGAGAACACGCATCCCTGTGAAGCAACAGTAAGCAATTCAGTACTATTTTTTGTTACATTCTTGGGCCACAGAAAGGATTTCTGGCATAAGTGGGGAAGGCTGTAGGAAGGAGGTAGGCATTAAACCAAGCCCCAAGGTCTTGCGGGGGCGGCAGGGTTGGGATGAGGAGAGACAAGAGACAAATAAATGGGCATTCCAGAATGAAGGCACACAGGTGGGCATAAGTTTGGCTTGTGTGGGGAACAAGGAGGACAAAGTCGGAGGTCTACTAAGGGGAGATGAAGAAATCCAACAGGATGGGGAGAGTTGGATTTTAAACTTCTGAAAGGAACTGTGTCAAATTCTAAGCTTTTGAAGGGGTCTGACTGTTTCCCTGCTGTCCCCTCTAGCTACAAGCCCATTGTGGAATTCATCGATGCGCAATTCGAGGCCTACCTTCAGGAGGAACTGAAGATCCGAAGAGTGCTGCACACCTATCATGACTCCCGAATTCATGCCTGTTTGTATTTCATTGCCCCCACGGGTCATTCCCTGAAGTCTCTGGACCTAGTGACGATGAAGAAGCTGGACAGTAAGGTATGGAGGCAGGGGCAGGAGGCTGGGCAGGCTGGACTCACTCTTACTGATCTCTTGTGCAAAGTAGACACCAGATGCCAGGAGAGGTTTGTGTCATCCTCCTCCTCTCCCTCATTCCCTGCCCCTCCATAAAGATGGTGTTATGGATCTAGCACCTGTGTCACATGGTTTGTGATCTGTTTTCCCAGCACTAGGGATGGCTTTGCTCTGAGCTGTCTTTCTGCCCTGATTCCTTTTGGGAATAAGGGTGAATGCTAGCAAGGTGGCTGTTCAGATCTAGGGATGCCGGCTTTGGCAATGGAAAAGCGTTTTTTCTTTGTCCCAATATTAACTAGCCTATGCTAGAATCAAACATGCAAACTTGACTTTGATAGTTATTATTTTTAGTATCACTAATAATTTTTATATTAGAAGTCAACATTTGTTCAACCCTCATTATATGCCAATCTTGTGACACGTACTGTTATTCCCATTTTACAAAAATGAAAACTGAAGCTCTGAGAGATTAAGTGACTTGCCCATTGTCCTATAGCTAGCTACTGGTAGAGGCTAGATTCGAACCCAGGTCTGTGGTACCATGTTATATTGCTTCCATGCCTGAAAAAGATGGCTATGGGAACCAGGCATGCCCTGCTTTAAGAAAAACTGAAAAATGGCCGGGTGTGTTGGCTCATGCCTGTAATCCCAACCTTTAGAGGCTGAGGTGGGAGAATCACTTGAGCCCAGGAGTTCAAGATCAGCCTGGACAACATAGGTCTTGCCTCTACAAAAATAGCAAAAATCAGCTGGGCAGGGCGGTATGCACCTATAGTCCCAGCTACTTGGAAGGCTGAGGTGGAAGGATCGCCTGAGCCTAGGAAGTTGAGACTGTGGTTAGCCACCGGTCGAGTGTGTCAGTGCACTCCAACCTGGGTAAGAGTAAGACTCTGACTCAAAAAAAGAAAAAGAAAAACAAATGCAAATTCTACACCGTGTGTATTAGACAATGATTCTTTGTGTTAAAGGATTATTAGCTGTACAAAAGAATTGATGACAGGATTCTTCAAAAAGCTTAATTATTAGTACATTTTTCCCCTGACATTTAGTGTATGCCAGGCACTGTGATGGGTACTTTATATGCATTATTCTTTTTGCCCTGCCAGTAATCCAGTGTAATGAATTGTATGATTATTCCCATTTTACATATGATGAAACTGAGGCACAAAGAGTCAAGTAGCTCGCTCAAGGTCAGATAATGGGTCTGGGATTTGGGCCTAGCTCTCTCTGATTCCATGGTTCCAAGATATATTTCACAGCAATCTAGTTTACATGCAGTCATTTTGTAGCACGTCCACTATAAAAACTTGATTTCAGCTATCCTCAGAATTGGACCAGTTTTTCATTTTTTGCAGCAACGAGCTCATGGCCTGTGAATAATAGGCTGCTTCTGAAATGTTGCCATGCCCGGCATGCCCTGTGTAGGGCAGCAGTGAGCCACGTGACTGGAGGTCTGGTGGGTGGGCTGGGCCAAGCAAGCAGCCTTTGACATGTGTTTATAGTGTGCCTATGGGGACTTGGCGAAAATGACAAGAAGAATTGGCTCTGCCTGCTGTTCCACCTAGACAAGGGCTTTGACTCCCTCTCCCCCTAGCCCCTGAAAGACCTCAAGGGAGGTGCCCTCAAGGTCCAATCTTTGCTTGACCCAGCACCTGAAGCCTTGTGTGATATCAGTCTTTAGAGGGACTCAAACGCCAAAGTCAAAAGAGGCAGGATTTACCTCCCAAGTCTAGAGCTCCCAGGCCTTTCAGAGCCCAGGGCCTGAACATCACCTATGCCACACTATTGGAGTCTGCTGGCAAAAATGACTGTGCTCTCCATGTGAACCTGAGCTTAGGTGTGCTCTCTCACAAAGGCAAGTGTATTTCAAGTTTCTTTACCTTCTGACAGTAAAAGTCTTGTCCCTTCCTGGAAAAATTTCAAAGATCAGAGTTCAAGTGGGTTGAACTTCGGGGTGGCAGTAGGACTTTCCTTTTTTTTGAGTTTGGGGGTGTCTCACTCTGTCACCCAGGCTGCAGTGCAGTGACACAATCACAGTTTACCTCAGCCTCAACTTCCTGGGCTCAGGCAATCCTTTCGCCTCAACCTCCTGAGTGGCTGGGACTGAAGCCCCCATGGTCCACTAATTTTTTTATTCTTTTGTAGAGACAAAGTCTCACTATATTGCCCAGGTCGGTCTCAAACTCCTGGGCCCAAGCGATCCTCCTGCCTTTGCCTCCCAAAGTGCTGATATCACAGGCATGAGCCACTATGTCCAGCCCTGGACCTTTCTTCTGCTGTCTGAAATTAGGCATTTGTACCTGTTTTCTTTACTCAGAAACTAATCATGAGACTCAGGCAGTATAATTTTTTTTTGCATAATTCTCAGATCAAATTGGTAACTGACAGGGTCTTCTTTACATAACCCGGTTGGTTAATCAGTGTTTGTCACCAGAAAGAGAGCCAGGTGTGTATTCACACTGAGCACTGCTCCTGCCTCCCTTTCCTGTCGTCTCCCATGTGGTCCATATCACACCTGGTTGGGGCTAGCCTGGTCTGGATAGGTTGGGACAATTTTCTATTAGCAAGGAGGGGCCACCTCTCCCCTGTCAACCACAGATTCCCAGCTGTCATCTTTCTGCTTTGAATCTCCCAAACAGTGACCTTGATACCAAGGTATCATACAGCTCATCAACTTAGAGCTGAACAGGTTAAGACTATGGACTTAGGAATTAAGGCTACATACACTTGGGTTTGCTACTTACTCACTTTGTGGCATTGGACATTTACTTAACCTCTATGTCTCAATTTCTCATTGGTAAAAATAGTAGTAATAATACCTCTTAGGAGGGTTCTCATGAGGATTGTGTTATTCATGTGAAGTCCTTAGTTCAGTGCCCAGCACACAGTAAGTACTCGTTGTTATTATATATATATTTGAGTCAGAGCTGGAGTGCGCTGACATGATCACGGTTCACTGCAGCCCTGACCTTCTAGGCTCAGGCAATCCTTCCAATTCAGCCTCCAAAGTAGCAGGGACTACAGGTGCATGCCACCATGCCTGGCTTATTTTTTTTATTTTTTGCAGAGACGAAGTCTTTTTTT